AGAATATAAGAAAAGGTGACGACAGCAAAGTATTGAAGTGAGTGACGTGCACATGGATGGGCGCAACAAATCTGATCTGATCTCACATTTTCAAAACGATGAGCTTTTGAGCGTTGGATATATCGAAGGAGCACAGCACGCTCGGTGGTCCCCCCCGCACCAACATTGCATTTCATTTTTGTTTTTAAAGGTGAGTAACAACTTTGAATAAATTAAAACTAAATTATAATTTAAGCTGTCAGATTTTTTTATTTTGAGTAAATTAAGAGTGTTCTTATTTTGTAGGATGAGACTAATTCTTTCATGACTTAGAGCAAAATGATTTTTATCATTAACTTCGGAGTGTTTTTGATAGAAATCGAACTCATGGCTTCATTAGTCACAAGATTCGATCTTTAAGCTACAATTCACTTACCAACAGAATTATATTTTGGGATTGTGTTGTTAGATTTTTTGGGTATGATATAAAAATAAATATTTATCTTTATTTTAATAGTTAATTTTTTTTAATTTATTGAATTATAATCATCAATTAATAATTAATCCGAAATAACTTATAATCTTAAGATACATGAAGGGTAATATTTTTTATTATTAGTTTTTCTTATTTGTTGTTTATTTTAAAGATAAAGAATAATGTAGCTTGGTTGCAAACTTGCAATGCTACAATGAGAATGGAACAAATTATTATTTTTTAAGCACATAGAACGGAACAATTTTGGTTTGGAAGAAACCTAAGTAGTTTGACGTAAATGGCATATCTGAATTTGGCAGTCTCTTTGATTGACATGTGACAACCACCGCACAAGTTGTTTATTTAAATATTAATCTTATAAACAATTTTCTTGTTAAATAAATATCTTTGACCCTGACCATTATTTTAAAAGTCGTTTGTATTGATTTTTGAATAAAGTCTTTTTTATCACTTCCTTATTTTAAAAGTACTTTATATAAAAGTTACAGCTATTTAGATTTTTAAAAAAAATATTTAACTTCTGACTTCTGCTTTTTGTAAAAGCTAAAAATTTTAACTTTCGAAAAAAGTAAGTTTTTGACTTTTGTTATGACTTATGCTTCTTATAAAAGTAGCCATCCAAACAGACTTTTTCAAAAAATAATTTTTTTTCTTAAAAAAAATAGCTTTTGAAGAAAAAAAATCCATCCAAACGAGCTCTATGTTTCTTCTCAACCAACAAAACGATGTTATATATATCCTGAAATTATTTTACACCCATGTCAATTTAAATTAGAATAATTAGATCAACAATTAAGATTAGGTGTAAAAATTGTTATTTTTATACTAATATAAATTGATTATTTTTCATATATATATATAGAGGTAGGATCCTTTGACACCGGTGTCAAATTTAAAGTTTGACACCTCATCTGAGAGCCGTTAGATCGAAAAAGATCAATGGTATCACATGCTTACAAATCAGAGTCATTGATCTTTTTCGATCTAACGGCTCTCAGATGAGGTGTCAAACTTTAAATTTGACACCGGTGTCAAAAGATCATACCTCATATATATATATATATATATATATATATATATATATATATATATCCTTAAAATATTTAATATAAGATATTAAATGTCTGTCAATTAATAAATTATTAATTTTCATTAACAAAATGTATATTTTATTATAATAAAAAAACTCATAATGTACAGTTGAGTGTTGAATGCGTCAGGTAGGAAAACAAACTTGGCAAGAATGAATCTCATGTACAGTAATAAATATTTGGAGTGTAGCAAAAATGATTTTAAGTTCAAGTGAAATATAAAACCTATTTTAAAATATGTTATCAAAAAAAAAAAAAAACCTATTTTAAAATTATAGAATTTGTGCATAATTAATTTAAATATTAATACTTAAGTCAACTATTAGAATCAACTAACGGTGAATTAGTTCTGAATTATTTAGAGATATTGATTTGAAGGATATTTTCCAACAGTTGATGCAAAACAAAATTCCAAGAACACATAATTGTTATTGGATGAAAATGAGCATTTTCAGATTTTTTATATATCTAATAATAACTTTTTTTTAATTAGACATTGTTTTTTTTGACGTGGAAACTTTATGTTATTTTAGAAGGATGTGAGAATACCAAATGATAGTAACTCAGTTGGTGATAGGGGTGCAAATGGACCCGGCCTACGTTGAGAAGCAGAGTTGGCTTAGGCTTATAAGAAAGTATTTTTAACAAGTAGGCCATACGCCAATTTTGTCAAGCCCGGCCTAAAGCCTTGTAGGCTAGCCTATTTAATTTTTAAAATAAAATATTTATTTTAGGGTATATGATATACATTATAGAGCTGTGATATTATGTTGATTCTTTTTTGTTTGTCATTTTTCATGAATTATGAGAAGTACTAGTGCATGCATGAATGAAACTTTGCTCAGTATATTTTTATAGTTATTTTTGTTGTTATTGTAAAATTTTTAACGCTCACTAGTGAAATTTATATCTTGTGTAAAAAAATGCAGCAATTTATGAACACGTTAATGACTTGTAATGTCAAGCGAATATTTTAAAAATTGTTAAAAATAATTTTAATTTTTTTTAAAATATTTCATTAGGGAGGCCTATAAGGCCTGTAGGTCATAGAAGGCTCTCTAATTTTTTAAAATAGGTTAGGCTTGGCCTATAAATAAAGCCTTTAGTAGATCAATAGGCTAGATAAGTTGAATATTTTTTTACGTAGACTTAGATCTGGAAGGCCAAAGCCTAGCCCAGCCTGACTCATTTACACCCCTAGTTGATGATGAATGCTGAGCAGGCGAGTTCGCGTACTATGAGATTCAACACTCAACTGTACATGTGTCATGTAGGAAAACACGGAACACTGACCAAAATGTCACTCTTTACCAACTTTTTTGCCTAAATGCCACGCGAACAATGTTATTTCTCAATCTGTCACGGGGGCAAGTTCGCTACCGGTGTAGCGAACTCGGTTTGCTGACGTGTCACATTTCTAGTGGATAATAAGTACCAAATTAAAAAAAAAGGTGTGAAGTTCGCTACCCCGTGTAGCGAACTTGGTGTCTACTAGAAATGTGACACGTCCAAACCGAGTTCGCTATATTGGGTAATGAATTTGTCCCCGTGATAGATTGAAAAATAACACTATTCACGTGACATTTAAGTAAAAAAGTTGATGAACAGTGACATTTTTGTTACTGCTCCGGAAAACACTCAACTGTACCTTGACTATAGTGGGCTCAGAGTGAGTTCGCGTACGATGTTGTACGGACGGAGATGACGTGTTTCTAACATTGTACATTTCCTCTTTTTTTAAGTAAGCTTCTGCGGCCCCACTGTTCCTGCACCAGTAACCCCATTATACTGACTACTTATTTTCTATGGTACCAAAACAAGATTAACATAATAATAATAATAATAACAAATACTTGTTTATTAACATTATTAATTGTTTTATAAATGGACAACTCGAAGGCTTATGATATAAAGATTATTTTTAGGATTCCATTTTTGTTATGTCGTAGGAAATAAAATTATTTTTTATATTTATATAAAAGTGTGTGAAATTCATATAAGGTCATGTGAAGAAAAAAAATATAAATTCCATATACTTTTTATGTATGTATAAAAAATAATTTTTTTTCTTATAATATAATAAATGTTAAACCTTCATTTTTATATCATATCTTTAGTAAAATGAAAATGACCAAACTTTTGGACTTGTGAGATGAGTATGTGGGAAATTTCTTTTTTTGGGCCAGTAGACTCTGGTTTTACCAAAACAAGCAAGAGAAGAGGTTATAATTTTTTTTTTTTTTTTTTGTTTCTTGATATGGTGGGGCTTGGGGAACAAGGAGGAATCAGGTGCATGAACAAGGAAAGGTGGGTATATGCTTATCTCTTAGTTAAAGATATATAAAATTCGGGAATTTATTATCTCTTATTTTAAAATTTTCAAGATCAGGGTTCTGCGTAAATTTTGTGCCTCTCACTTCATAAATATTCATAAATGTTGAGCGAACTCTACCTATATAATAGGTATAACAATGGAGAGATTAGATCTTTTAATATTGATGTCAAATTTGAAGTTTGACACCTCATCTTAGAGTCGTTAGATAAAAAAAAATCAATGGTATAACATGCTTACAAATCAGAGTCATTGATCTTTTTTGATCTAACGGCTCTCAGATGAGATGTCAAACTTCAAATTTGACACCGATATTAAAGATCCTACCTCAACAATAGAAATAGATACAAAATTTATTTAGCCTTTTTACAACTCTATCTTAAATTTACTTCGAGAATGATCTTTTTATATTAAAATTTTTCATCATTTGATCAAGTAAAATTTTCATGCCTATCTCTTTTTTTTTTTGGAGTTACCCAACCCTAATTACCTCTTTGAGGCGAGTTGGCTCCCTCCGGTATCCCCACGAGCTTCGACTCTTTGAGCCGACTATGAGACTAATCCGGAGTGCGGGGGAGCAGTGATGGTTAAAGGTTCAGCCCCCTCCCCAAGAATGCATTCAGCAGGAATCGAACACATGTCCAACCCCACTAACTCAGCGCCAAATTACCAACTGAGCTGCACCTATTAAGTCATGTCTATCTCTTTATTCGTTAATAATAATTAAATCTTATATATTTAATAGATGTCAAAAAAAGAAACAGGAGGGATATTCTTATTACCAAAAATTTTTACTACCAACTCACTACTTATCTAATCACCATTAGATCAACATTTTCTCTTTTTTCAAAAACTTTTTAACATTCTCTCTCTTTGATCCAATGGTGATTAAATAGGTAGTAAGTTAGTAATTAAAAATTTTAGTAGTAAAAATATTCCATCTCAAAAAGAAATACATACAAAATTTTCACGCCTATCAAGTCATGTGAAATTTTAAGAAGTATCCACTTTCCATTTCCTTTAGTTATGCACCATTCCATTTTTGTCCAGCGTTCTATTTATTGAGTGCTGACTTTTCTTTTTTCGTCTTTGAACTCTCATTTTCTTCCTTATTTAGTTATTTTCCTTTCCTTTTTTATGCAAAAACTCAGAGATTTTCTTAGATTTTTCCAATTTGGTGCATATCTACTTCCTCTAATGGGATATATCAATCAATTATAACTAAAAAAACCATCTCCGAGATATATCTTTCTGGGTGTTTAGTTCCTTTCTTGTGAAGGACCTTGGATTTACTGATACTTTGACAGCCTCTTTCTTTTCATCGAAATCTGTATGTAAGTGCTCTGGTTTTTTTTTTTTTTTCCTTCTGTTTTTTCATTAACTTCCCATTTCTTTGTAACCTTCATCCTTCATATATCACACCCGTAACTTTTTTATTTTTTGTTTGTATTTTTGGTTTCAATGGTTTCTTAGATAAGTTTATGTGTCTTCATTCTATCATAAGAAGGCTTAATTTTTGGGTTCATCCTATTTGGTGAGGACCCTTTTGACCATGTATTGAACTTTGCTTCAATTTTCTACCTAAGCATTTTTTCTAATTTCATACATTTTTTGTGGGGTATTGATGATGATTCACCACAGAGAATAAAAGATGGTGAGAGGAAAAACTCAAATGAAGCGTATAGAGAACGCCACAAGCCGGCAAGTGACCTTCTCAAAGAGGCGTAATGGGTTGCTGAAGAAGGCCTTTGAGCTATCAGTTCTGTGTGATGCTGAGATTGCTCTTATCGTCTTCTCTACAAGAGGGAAGCTTTATGAATTTGCAAGCTCCAGGTACTTATCCTGTACATCTCACCATTCTCAGATGTGTTCATATTTTCTTATTCACTAATTGTATGATTGCATCTACATCTCATAATCTTAGCTATAACCTCTACATTCAAGGATTCCTTTATTTTTTGAGATAGTAAATTTCAGGCACACTTAGATATATACATTTAGATACTTTTACATCCTATATGTATAGTCAAGAATTCAAGATTCTCATCATAAACACCAAAATACATTGATGGATAGGATCTAGTTTTATTTCTTCTTACTTATTATTATTATTATTATATGGAGGTTATACTTATTACTTATTTTTTCTTACCATCGCATATAATTATTTTTCTTATTGTTCGATCAAAATCAAATTAAACCCGATTAGCGAGTGTTGGTGGAGGTAATCTTTATACGCAATCTTACCCTTGCATGTTTCTTGGATTCGAATCCACGACCTTTCAGTCATGAAATAACAGCTTTACCACTGCTCCGATTCGTCCCCTTTATTTTAATTTTGATCTAACCAAAATAAAGTGATTGTATAGGAAACAATGTTGTGAGTATAACCTACCTCTTGTTATTATTGTTTATTTTTTCAAGACTTTTTAAAAAAAGTGAGGGTAAGCTGTGTAAAATCGACCCTTACCCTTACCCCTATTCTTGCCCGTTGGGGAGCTTTGTGCACTGGGTTTGCCCTTGGTGCACAATGAGCTAAGCAATTCAATACTCTAGGAAAAGGAAATAATGAATTTGTATCTTCTCTTTCAGTACAAGTGATTTAGGGAAGTATTTGTGGATATTTCATGACATTAAATGGCATAATTGATTGTAGTGTTTTTACCTAATCCTATCCTTGTTTAAAGCCTAACAAATTCTTACATTTTTGGGTAGGCCAAGAGCTTGTAACTTTTTCTGGCTTCTTCTATTAGGCTCGTATCAAAAATGAGTTTATCTTAGTTAGTAAATAGTTTTAACCTAATTAAGTGGTACCACACCTCCCAAACCAAACATTAAGAAAGGGTAAAATGATGTAAGGTAACTGGTTCCCTCAGTAATGAGCAAAGAAAGAACTATCACATGTAGGTTAGTGTTTCATCATATGTACCAAACACTGACATATATAAAAGGTTCATGAGATGGGGAAAGATCGAGAGAGAGACAAAGAGAGCAAGTGTGACCTGCACCACATAATGATGATTTGATTCCATCTATAATATTTTCTGATCAATGAATATTATATTTTGGTTTAAGAAGTTGTAGGTTCGGAATGTACTTCTTTTATCATCGAACAAAGTGAGTAAACTCTATTAGATAGGAGCTTGTGATGTTCCATGAAATAATGTGCAGTGTGATCACCACAGCTTTTAGTATAACAAGAGGTCACACACTAACCTCATTCCAAGACTAATAATTGTACTTTCATTTACATTATTATAATCGAAACTTCTACTTCGACATTACAGTCGAAATTACAAACTTTTCTTGTCAACTTGAGGTGAATAATATTTAGTAAATCAAGTTCTGGTCAATGGCAACTGAGAGTGATGTGGGAGAGTGTTGTTGCTGTACAACACTATATTATAAAAACTTTGAAAACCAAATTTATTATATAAGTAATTATATATAGATGCTTTTGTTGTCCATATTGTCTTTATTGTGGGAATAGATTACGATTAATTGAGTGTTATGAGCATATAATAACTTTTAAGTGATATAGGTTTTTTTGAAAAATAAAATTTAGCATAGATAGACGAAGCTAGATTTTCCAGCTGGAATAGTGAGTAGTGGGGATTCGAACTTTGATCCTTGGCTAGGGTTTGATTTGTTATATGCTAGAAAAAGATCTATGTAGTTCAACCGTCCTTAATCGGGCTAGCGTTTTCAAAAAGTTCAGTAACGTAGTAATGAAAATGCCAAAAGACACTCAACAAAGAATGCATATATATATATATATATATATATATATATATATATATATATATATATATTGCGACTCTCAGACTTATCCTTTCAAATGCTATTTGAAACTTGATTATAGTGATTTCATATATGCATTTCATGCTTGACTTTGTTCTATTTTATCTCTAAGGGGGCGTTTGGTTGAGGAGAAATATTATAAATGATAGGAAAATGTTATGTATAGGGAAATGGGTGGGAAGTGAGATTGGTAGGAAAATGTAAGAAAAAGTTGTTTGGTTGGAAAAAAATTTACAGGAAAAATCAAGTAACTTTTGTAAAGTTTATGTTTGGCTGTAAGTAACATATAGATGGGAAAATGCAGTGGGTATTACAAAATTAACCCTGACTGCATAAATTTTTCCATCGTATGCAACAAGACCAACCAGTTTCGCTATGCTTCTCGCGTTTTCTGCTCTCACCTTCTTCGCTATGGCAGACCCATCACGCTTTCACCACCATTCTCCCATCATCTTCACCTTTCATCCCAACCACTGCATCACCCTCACCTGGTTAAGTTTTCTTTTCTTTCATTATTATTTACCCCACAAAAAAAAATCATTTTTTTATTCGTTTTAGCTGCAATATGAATATAAAGTTCATTGCTTTAGCTGCTGTTGGTGTTAATCAAGAAAAACCAGCGTCAGATAACTCTGCAAAAGATGGTTCTGGTCAAGGAAAAGAGTCTGGAGGGGAAAATGATCAGAAAAGTGATGATGGGAAAACCTGTTCGTGGAGGGGTACGCTGGTCTTTTTTTTGGTACAGTCAGTGAGCAAATATGGAGCCACTCCACAATACCACCTTGCAAAAGGGTTTCTGTGGTCGGCAAAATCAGTACAAATAGATAGGGAAATAGGAATGCCTTGAATCAGAGTTAGCTAGCTAAGTGAGGAAATCCAACACACCAAACGCTGGTTTCTTCCTTTCCCATTTGTCATTTATCTATCATTCTGTTGAGAATCCTTCAACCAAACAGCCCCTAAGTGATTTGCACTATATACTGGCACAAACGGATATAGAAGGTACTTGGAAACACATAATCTATATATATATAGGGTAAGGATCATTTTACACCAGTGTAAGTTACACTCTCAATCTTGTCTGTTGATCTCATTTATATCTAAGGGCTCAAATTTTTTAGTAATGTGAGCCATTGGATATAAGTGGATCAATGGTCAAGATTGAGTGTAAGACTTCTAACTCTTACAGCGGTGTAAGAATATCCTGCTCCATATAGGGTAAGGATCATTTTACACCAGTGTAAGTTACACTCTCAATCTTGTCCGTTGATCGGGCCTATTAGGACCTATGAAGAACCGATTACGGCACGGCGTTTTCAATACGTTCCCAATACGTTCTTGAACGTTTTTGATACAGGAATTCAATACGTTTCCGATACACGTATCCGATACGTCGGAAAAATTTTTGAGTATCGGTACTTCATAAATTAGGACTACTAATATAGATTTTGGTATTTACCAAAAAAAAGTTTCAAGTTCGATGCAAGTGAGCTTTTATTGTGTGATCCTCCCAAGTTTGTTCAGTAAGTTGATTTAAGAGGTAACCTGCGTTCCAAATTGCAAGGTGCTTAGTCTTAAGCCCCACATCAGATTCCCTTCAATTTGATGTCTTATATTCTAGGGTGATATCTAGAGATGAGGTGTGATCCCTATTCTGGGGTACATTGTCCCTGATTCATTTGTCGAGAACTTGCTTAGAAGCGTCGAAATGGACAAGTTTGAGAGGCATAATGTCCTAGGACAATCTGGTTAGGGTCAAGGATGATTGTATCCAATGTGAGATTTGGCGACAAACGATCTTTATTGAGGAAATGACTGCTAAAATAACAGATCATTGAAGCAGTATGCAAGAGGCTTGAAATATCACTTATTGTAAAGAACCTTGGGATACACCACCCCAAAAGCTAGCTCAAGGGGTGGGAGTGCCCAAGGCCTTATAAAGGCCATATTAGTTGCTCATCCAATCAATGTGGGACTATATATCTCAACACGTCTTCTCACGCAAGAGCCCTTTAGGCTAGAAGCGTGGAATTGCACAGGCCCATTTTTGGTTTACCTTTTTGTGCTTTTTATTTTATTTTAATTCCACTTTTTAAAGCGGGGGACGGTGATGCTTTGATACCATGTAAAGAACCTTGGGATACACCACCCCAAAAGCTAGCTCAAGGGGTGGGAGTGCCCAAGGCCTGCCATATTAGTTACTCATCCAATCAATGTGGGACTAAATATCTCAACACTTATGAAATATGCAAAAGGCGGCTTGAAAGATCACTTATGAAGTTATGCAGTATGCAAGAGATTTGAAGCTAAGAGAGTCAGTGGCGGAGCCATATTGAAACAAGGCACTTGCTGGTTTTTAAAAATGGTTGGCTTCCTATTTACGTAACTATGAAAATAACAGCTTACTCCATGGCCCTCCATAGCTAGAGATAGCCTTGACACCGACTGATTTTTTTTAGGAATTAATTTATGACACGGCCTAAATTTTTTTTGTTTTTTTTTGCCTCCGCCACTAAAGGAAGTGGGTGTGCAACGAGAGGTTAGGGTTTTAGAAATGTATGCCTTTAGTGCCTAACCCTTTTCTAATGGAGTTTGGATAGCAACACAACTTTTCTAATGGACAAGGCCCATTATCTCATGATTCATATTTTGAATCCGAGCAATTTTGACCCTAATCTTTTAGGTGGTGTTTGGTTGGGAGTTTTTCAGCGGATAGTATGGCTTTTAGAAACACCATGTTTGTTTCAACGTTTTTCACCAAAAACCCATCTATCCAATTTGTCTGGATTTATGAGAAACATAGATATCTGCACTGTTTAGAAACCCAATTTGAAGGTGGGATTTTTCGGAAAACCAGTTATCTGGCTTTTAATGCACTGTTGATTTCATAAAGTTACCTAATTTTTCCAGTAAAGTTTTTCCCACCAAACAACTTTTTTTTTTTTTACATTTTTTTACCTATCTCACTTTATCTATCTATCTCATTTTCCTACTATTTCAAAAAAATTTCCTGAACCAAACGCCCCTTAGAG